AAACGGGGGGGGGGGGGAAATGGCGCCCGGGATTCGAATTGTATTGAGGATATTGGCATTCTCGAGTGGGACGGTGCGTAAAACACGTTGTTAACACGGCTAGGTCGACCCCCCCCGGGGCTTCAGGCACTCGGGATGTAAACACACCACCACCGCCAGTCCGCCACCACCCTCCCCACCCCCTGCGGTTCTCCTAGTCCCCCCCCCCGGCCCCCCACCCCACCCTAAAGTACACGTTCCCCACTTCCTGTATATAGAGCCCATTGTCTGCACCCAGTCCTAACACGTCCCCCTTTCCACCTCGCCTCTTCTTTCCCATCGCGCGCCGGAGCAGTTCCCCTTTCCTCGTTCCGTACTCTTCCTTAAACCCACTCTCGCTCTCTCTTACACACACACACACACACACACGCAAAACCCGCCTTTCCCCGACCTAAAACACCTGCGATACACACACATATACACACATACGCGCGCGCGCGGGACACACACGCACAGCAACGTGCGAGAGGTTCATCGTCTGGCGCTGGCTGCGGACCGCGGTCAGCTGGCCACCATCAAGGCAGCTGCGGCGGAGTTTTGCTCCCGGCCCGGTGTAGCTCCTGTGAGTGTGTGCGAGGCCCCCCTGACCAGCACCCTCTCCGACCTGCGGGCGGCGCTGGATGACCTGGAGAGCTACCATCAGGTGGGGGGCTGGGCATGTGTGGATGTGTGGATGTGTGGATGTGTGTTTTGCATCATACCCGGGTGCATGTGTTTCCCCGCCTTTTCCCCCGGCCCCAACACCCCTGGTGTGCGGTATTCCAACCCCTTTCCTCACTCCCCGCGCTCCCTCTCAATTACCCTGGGGCCCTCTCCCCCCCCCCCGCCGGTTTCCCTCCCGCCAGGGCACGTACCTGGGCTCGGGCTCTCTCCCCAGGAAGATCAAGGAACCCACCGCCTACTACTTGTGGACCAGTGCCACGGGGACGTACAAGGTGTGTGTGTGCATGTATGTATGTATGTATGTATGTATGTATGTATGTATGTATGTATGTATGTATGTATGTATGTATGTATGTATGTATGTATGTATGTATGTATGTATGTATGTATGTATGTATGTATGTATGTATGTATGTATGTATGTATGTATGTATGTATGTATGTGTGCGTATTTACGTAGATGCGTTTTAATGGTCTGAGCCGTGATGAGGGAAATGGCGGTGGTGTGTCTGCGTGCTGTGTGCTGCCAGGCCCCTATCCTCCTCCCCAATTTCACTCCCTGTTGCTCCAGCTGCTGCTGCTGCTGCTGCTGTTGTGCATTCCTCCCCCACCTCCTCCCCCACCCCAGGCGTACTTCGACACGCAACCGCCCACGTGGGTCAACGAGACGGCGGGTGTGTGGCAGTTGGGCAACCGCTTCATTGCGACTGCACGGGAGATCTTGTACTACGGGCTGAAGGCGGGAGGCCAGATAGCGTGAGTTCTGGGTAGCTGCGTGCGCATCTCTTTCTGTACATGTATGCATGTATGTATGCTGTATGCATGCATGTATGTACTATCGGGGTACTTCCTAACCAACTGCGCGCAGGGATCACCGTGCGTTCAAGTTCGTGATTGCCAACGGGCCCTGGGCTGTCTTCGCGGGCTACACGGCCGGTCTGGACTACCTGGTCAGCTACGCTTGGGGGGAGGTGGAGAAGGTGCAGCGAGGTGAGGAGACCGACCGACGGACCGGGGACGGGGGTGGGGGGTGGGGCCCCTCGGGGCGGAGTGAAGGGGGGAATGTGTGGGTCAGTAAGTACCCTCCACCCTCACTCTCACCGCTCCACACGCCCTTTCCTCCACCCTCTCACCCTCGTTGGTTGGGAGCACGTGTATTCGCTCCTCCTCCTCCTCCTCCTTCATGAAGGTGGGCTGTTTCCGCCCTCTGTTTGGAACCTTCTGTGCCCTTGATCCCAGCACACCTGGCGCCCCGACCTGGGGACTAACACACACGGGGCCCCCTTGGCTTTCTTTTCCTGATCTACCAGCCTTCAGCCTTTCTGCCATGATGATGCTTTCCTACTGGATTGTCCCCTTCAATTTAATTGGTGTTTAATTGGGATGTCTACTCTTTTTTCTTTGATCACGTCGAGCTCAGCTGAGGAAAAGTGTTTTGCGTCATTCGCCGTACAGTCTCATCACTTGGCATCATAAGACTTTTAAGAGGTGTCGCTAAGCTGTCTGCTGTACGACTTTCAGAAGGCAACAACAACAACAACAACAACCCTTTCAGTGCCCCAACAGAATTCGCAACAGAATCCATCCAACCGCCAACTCCCCGCTCTGCCGTTGCAGCTCTGATTATCATGCTTGCCGTGGAGGCGGCAGGCGTACAGCTCGCCTGCATTGTGTACGAGCTCGTCCTCCTCCGTACAGTCGAACAAGTCCGCAGCGGTGGCCTGCTCACCAGCCTGGCCATCCCGGGGCCTATGCTGCGAGTTCTAGCTAGCCGGCCCATCGTTGTCGTAGAGGTACGACATGTGAAGACCGTGTACGGCAATAATGTTAGTTTTATGGGGCTACGACGTACCTATGACAACCTCGGGTCGTACCTCCCAGGCCGTAACATTTATAGAGGAGCTGCTGGGTGAAATGCGGTATTGAGTTCAGGTTGTGAAACCAGATTGTCTCCCCGATGTTTTGTTGTGGCAATGGCGTGCGGCGGTTATGGTGGCGGTGGTGGTAGCGGGTTGGGGAGCCATGTCCTCATCCCCCACTTTCCCCTGGCCCTGCTTTTCCCGCGCTTTCCTGTCCACATGGTTGACATGACGGGCACCTTTGGAGGGGAGGGATTGCCGCATGGAGTGGCGCTCGGCTGTTGCCCGTGTCCGGCTGTGTTTTTTTCTTTCTGCCTGCCCTGTCTCCCCCTCGTTTCCCCGGTTGCTCTCTTTTCAAGGCGCTGGTTAAGTGTTAACCGTATTGTATGTCTGTAAGCACAACGGCACATGCGACCGCATGCTCCCAGCATGGCGCACGGTATTGCGCTCCCAGTGAATTGTACCATCGTACTGCCGTACTGCCCACAGGACAGTGACGATGAGGACGGCGAGGAAGACGACGCCGCGGCTGACGGGTGCGGAGGAAGGAGGCGGGCGCTCGTGCGTGTGTGTATGTGATTTTATGGTGCCTGTTTGTTTGTCTGTTTATTTTGTCTGTTTGTTTTGTCTGTTTGTTTGTCTATTTGTTTGTCTGTTTGTTTGTCTGTTTGTTTGTCAGTTTGTTTGTCTGTTTGTTAGTCTATTTGTTTGTGTGTGTACATGGTGGGGACGGGGCGGATTGAGCACCACTATCGCTACCACCACCACCACGACCACTACCAGCATTACTGTCACTATCACCTCAAATCCCCGGACGGTCCCCCATTTGGTTTTTGAATGCTCATCACCCCACCAGGGGCGGAGGCGGCGGAGGCGGTACAGGCGCCGGCGGCAACGCTGGCGGAGGCGGTCGCGATGATAGCGAAGACGAATTTGACGACGACGGCGGCGGCGGATCCCACTTTCCCTCCTCCATCACCGCCACCGCCACCCCCGGCAACAATAACGGCATTGGAATACGCGATCCCGGTAACGCCACGCGGCGCTACCGTCGAAGGTCCATGGACATGGCCGTACCGCCCCCTGGTGCCGTACTCCTTGGCGGCGCCATGCCGTACGACTACTCGAACGCTACCCACCACCTCTCAAATCAGGATGTCGACCCCTCTCTGCGCTTTGGCCCCTCGGGCGTCGTACTGCCATCGTCCGAAACACACCGTCCGGACAGCGGGATTTCAGCAGGGTTTGGACCCACCATCACCAACGGGCGTAGTGGTGGCGACGGGATGCCAACCGGGGGCCGGCGGGGCTTCTCCGCTGGCGGCGGCGGCAGCAGTACAGGTGTCGTACGCAGCTCCAGGGGAGGTCGGCTTCACGTGAATGGCAAGGAGTTGGTTCCTAGCTACCGAAACACGATAAAGTTCATGGTGTGTTGGGTCGGGTGGAGGAGTGACGGGATGAAGGAGGGGGGGTGATGGTGAATGAGCTGTGCCTTGTGGGGAGCTGTGGAGTGGCCGGGCCGGGTGGTTGCCTTGTTCCCTGTCTTCCCTTGCTCTTCCTTCCTTCCCTGAATGAATCGGCCTTTGATTCTGTTTCTGTTTTCCGTTTCTGTTAAACCCTTGGGGATTATCCCGCCCCTACCCCACCGCGCAAATCCCTGACTCCTGTCCATCCTCTCCCCCCCATCGCGACACATACAGACGTACACACGCACACGCAATCTTGTACCACCCTCACCATTTTCAGCTCGCAGCTCAGACGATCAAAACTCCAATGCGGCTATTTAAAACACGCGCTTCCTGACACACAAACGCGCACACGCACGTACACACGTGTGGGGTTTCCGGGTTTCCTCTTTCTTAGTGGATCCCCCTCCCCCCCGAGAGCCGGATCAGGCCGGGGAGGGAGAGGGGAGTCTTGTTGTGTGTTTCAGAGGCTCAGTGCGCAAACTCGCGTGACGTAGCCTTGACTCGTGAGAGCGTGCGACGCCTCTCACCCCCGGGGGGGAGAGCGGAGCTAACGGACCTGCGGCTCTCGGCTGCTTAGGAGAGGGCATATAGGCCCCTCACGCCCCTCTCCCGTCCGCGCGAGAGAGCTTAGGCGGTCTTTGCGTTGGGACTGGGCAGCAGTCCCTGGCCAGTGTTAGGCCCGGTCAGATGCATGTAACCTACACCCCTACACACACACACGCATGCACACGTTTCCCTTGCCCCCAGATCCCCCTGTTGCTGTGGGAGGTGGCGCTGATCGCCCTCGGCGCTGTGAGCTTCATTCAGCTGAACGGCATGCAGGGCCCTCTTGCCTCTCTCAATATGGCCTCACATGTCATATATCGATACACACGAGTACGGTGAGGCTGGCTGTGTACGTGTGTGAATGTGAATGTATGTATGTATGTGAGGGAAGGGTGGAGCGGGGAGGGTGGTAGGTGCATTACCACCGTCACCGCTTGGATTGGGTTTTCAGCGACACTGCCACCTGCAGAACGTGAATTCGCTCACGTGCTGATACATAAACTTGTTTACCTGCGCTTACCTGCTTGTCTGTCCGTCTGTCTGTCGGTCTGTTTGCATCACCATCCGCTTCTTACGGAGGTGGTCCTCGTCTCATTTTTTTGCCTCTTTACTCCCCCCTTCTCCAACATTGTTTTCCCGCGCCTTTCTCCCATCCCGCTCTTCCTCCCCCTTCCCAAAACACACGCACACACACTCTCACACACTCACACACACACATATACACACACACACACACACACACACACACACACACACACACACACACACACGCGCGCGCGCGCGCACAGGATGACGGCGTTCCTGCTGGTCACCAGCGGCCCCGGAACCAGCCAAATGGCTTTCTACCGGAATGTACTGCAAACGGAGCTGGTAAACCTGCAGAGCGAGTACGACACGCTGATGTACGGCGGCCTGTCAATAACGCAGGTGGGCGAGGGCTGAGGGGGAGGACTCATGAACGGGGGCCGGGAGGGCAAGGATGACCGGACAGCGGAGGCAGGAAGGCGGGAGAAACTGAGCGACAGCGGAGGACGAGCCGCACGACGCGATGGCGACGCATATATACATAGGGGGTTGGGGTGGGGTGGAGTGGGGTGGAGGTGTTCTGCTCCACCTGGTGTGCCTTCGTTTCCTGTTATGCAGCCCATCCCCATCCCCATCCCCATCCCCATCCCCATCCCCATCCCCATCCCCATCCCCATCCCCATCCCCATCCCCATCCCCATCCCCATCCCCATCCCCATCCCCATCCCCATCCCCATCCCCATCCCCATCCCCATGTCAAACTTCTTACAGGCCGGCAGTGTGTTTCAGAAGGCCGTCCCCGCCTCCACCTTCGAGAGCTCCTCCTTCGCGGGAAACTTCTTCACCGAGGAGAGGTGCTTTCGTTGGGACCAGAGCAAGTGCTACACACCGGACAGCCCCTACTACGAGGTGAGGCGGCAAAAGAGGGGGCAGGGGGAGGGGGAGGGGGCCGCCGCCCGGGGTGTCAAGTGCGTGTACGTGTGCCCGTGGGTATGGGCATGTATTTGTGTGTTCCATTTTTTGTTGTGTATATGTGCGTGCATGTACGCGTTCCCGTGTGTGTATTTGCGTGTGAGCTAACCGTACTGAGAAGCGGGGCGGTGGGTTGGATCCGCTTTATTACATCTATCCATACATGCATACATGCATACATGCATACATATATACATACATACATACATGTATACACAAAACGGGCACTCCTTCCATCCCATCGTCATCTTGCTATTAGTGCGATGTGTGAAACAGGGGGGTGTATCTTCGCCCGTGGCAGCTACCCTGCGAAACCCTGCCTTCCCCGGTATTTCGGGGCACCCTCATCCAGTCACCCTGGTCAACTTCTCAGTGGATCGCTCAGGTTCCGCACCCACCACCAGCATCCAACGGAATCTGCCGGATCGACAGCGGCCCAACTCCGTTCCTGGTCGGCTCGCGATGTTTTGCGTGTCACAGCACGAGATCGACGGCCACTGATCGGGGTCCGGAATGCGCCTTCTCTCCCCCAGCGCCTTCTCTCCTGCAGCCTGTAAGAGCACAGACGTTGAACCCCCCCCTTTCATGAACGTAAACACCGCCGTCCCGCCTTCATGGCTTCCCATGTTTTCCCCCCCACTCTCCAACCGCTAACCGCTAACCGCCCAACTACCTCGCCAGGTGACCCATCACGGTCTGGATGTGATGCTGAGACGTATCATCTCCGAAATGACGTTGCTCGCGTCCGACGATGACTTGGATACCGTGTATAACAGCACGCGTTACAATACCATGTGAGTACGACGGAGGGAACGTGTATGTGTGTGTATGGATGCACGCGTGCGCATGTACGTCTGTATACGCGTCTGTACGTACAAAAGTGCATTTTATTTATGGCATGCGCCTGCCGGTTTCTTTTGCGTGTCTCTGTCGTACTCGGAAATAATCTTCAGCCCCTCTTTTTCGAGATTGTCGTACGTGTCGTACGTACCGTGCCATAAGTGTCGTAAGCGCCGTACTGGTGATTTCCTGCCGCATGTGCAGGTACATGATCGGCACCAAGGACTTGTACGAGGGTCTCCAAAGCAGCGCGCAGCTGTTTGTGGATTTTTCCATTTCCCGCTACAACTCGATCAAAGTGCTGCAAACGATTTTGCTCGCCATCACTGTCGTATTCTTCCTGTCGTACGCGCTGCTGCTACTGCGCCCGTACACTGCCTCTGTCGAGCGCGAGGCGATGCGGCTAGCAGGGCTGCTAAGCCACGTGCCCGCTGAGATGGACGTTACGTCACACGTACGGCAAGTACTGCGTGCTCATTTACGACATGTACTGCAACGCAAGTCCCGACGTGCGACGGCGGGGTTCGGGGCCCGAGGGTTGGAGGCGGGTGGGGTGGGGTATTTGGGGCCGAATTCCCGGGTGCTGCCGTTGGATCCGAGTGGTGGTGGTGGTGGTGGAGACGGTGTCAGGCGGCCCGGGAGTGGGTCGTCGTTCTTGATGGCGACCGGCAAGGTGTGAGTGAGTGAGGGAGCGAAGGAGGGGGGGAGGAGGGGGAGAGGTGTAGTGCGTATTCGTCGGTTGTGTGACCATCCCGTCACTCCCAAAATATTTTTCATTCATAGCCTTTTCATTTCCCTTACAACAGCACACAACGGCTTACGGCAATAGCGGACAACGTGGACAGCGCTGTGCCTGTCATAAGCCCCGCGGCCCGCGTACCCCACAACACACTGTACGATGTAGGGAGTGAGGATGTTGCCACGGCCAGGGCCTCCAGGCATCTAGCCGTGGCTGTACATTTATACATTTATTATGTACAAACACACGTACGCGCACATGTGTTCGTATATGTGCGTGTCACATCAGGGCCTGGCAGGGCCTGATGCACGGATGGACCTTTCAGCTGGGGGCCCTGCCGGAGTTGTTCGGGAAGAAGCTGGGGGCCCCTGACCCCACGAGCGACTGGACTGGAAAACCGCCGGAGGGAGCACCAGGCTCCGAAACCAAAGAGGGGGGATAAGAGAGGGGGCCGGGATGGAGGAAGAATTTATGTGTCTGTGTGTGTGTATGTGTGGGAGGAGGAGGGGGGAAACATTTGAACACGGAGAGATTGGCGTCCGATTGCGATTGTTGCTACCATTGCTGCTGCTGTTGTGAACACAATTACATATATTACATATATTGCATATATATGTGTATATGTATTTAAGTATTTATGTATGTACGTGTGTGTCGATGCCCGTACCTTAACTTTCTGTGCCCGTCGTTGTTCTGATCTGAGAGCGGACTACGGCCTCTGGGGGCTGGAAGAGGAAAGAAAGGAAGGAGGAAAGTTTCCGGAATGCTCGGGAACAGCGGTAATAACGGGATGGATCCTTAAGTTGCTGCTTTTGCTTCGTCACTGCTACTGTTGCTGCTTCTGTTGCTACCACTGTTGCTGATGCTTGCTGCTGCTACTACTGCTGCTGCTACTACTGCTACTGCTACAGCTGCTACTACTGCTGGAGTTATGGTAGTAGTAAGCATAAGCATGTCGAATAATAGTTCTTAAGAGGATAACACTACCAATAATATAGAAAAATGCGATTGCCGTCGCCCCATTTATGATATTATTACTGCTTACTTCACAACTTTTTGTGATGGAGTAGCTGAAATTGCGAGGGTTTACCGTTGTGCGGGTTGACCGTTGGCGCCGTTGCTTGCTCCGTAACTCGTTATCATTCATATTCCTGATCTTGTTGCCGCGCCGTTGCTACTTCGGACCAATTGCCCGACTGGCTGGAAACTAACTTATGATGACGATGATGATGACGATGATGATGATGGCGGACTGACCGGTGAATTGGGTTTCTAGACCTCCTGGCGTCATGAGGTTCAGATGACTTTAATTTTAAGTAGGGGGGCGCACATTTGCGGGATGAAGATAGATAGATATATTAGTGTCACTGTACGGCGCCGTACGTTACCGTACGCAGCGAGGCACGCTTCGCCATGCCTGTACGTTCACCGCGCCCACCGGCCCACGCGCGCTGTGCTACCGATTCATTCATTCCTTATACGCGCTTTGGAGGATACGGTGTTTGGTTTTGCCAGCACTTCCAAAATGCAGAACTCCGCGCACATATACATACATACATACAAACATATTACACATTTCTGATACGCTTGAGGTCCCCTGGGGGGTCCGCTTCCTCCTCCCATCCTCCTGGGCTTGGGCCCTTTACCGAAGGTTTACATGAATCTGAGGATCAGTGAAGGTCATCGGGGTCCTGAGAGCTGCTTGATTGGTTGGTTGGTTGGTTGGTGCGGGCTTTGGATAAGACATGAATACCGGGAAAGGAAGGCAGTGATGGAACGATGTTTAGGTTTGGGCAATCCGAGGCTCTGAACACGATGATCATCCAGTAGTCACGCAGTCCGTCTGACTGTCTGTCAGTCTGCATATCTATCGGTCTGCCGGTCTGTCGTTCGTTCCCTCAAAATGATGCGCTTCAAGGCGCGGTGACCCTTTGTCGGCGTTGTGGTAGTTTACGGGACAAGCCGTAGGAATGGAGGTGATGGATGTGGTGGTGATCTGCTTGCTATCACAGTAGCGCGCATTTAGCCACTCGCCTCTGTTCTCTGATACCCTTTAATAGTCCTTTAATACATATGATATGATATGATATGATATGATATGATATGATATGATATGATATGATATGATATGATATGATATGATATGATATGATATGATATGATATGATATGATATGATATGATATGATATGATATGATATGATATGATATGATATGATATGATATGATATGATATGATATGATATGATATGATATGATATGATATGATATGATATGATATGATATGATGTAGTTGTTTTGTATAGGTCTGCGTTGTCCTTTCCCCCCCAGGTGCACACGGCCTTGCGTCGTTCATCAGCCATTAACGCCATTCGCTGATGAACCATAAGTACATTTCTTCACCCGCACAATATCAGAAACGATTACTGCTTAGCATTTGCCTGTATGGCTCAGCAGCAGGTTAACACACACCGTTGGGGCTCCCTGGCCAGTGTCAGCCCGAACGGTCAGAAGCTTCACACACCTACTCACTCACCTACTGCCTGCCGTTCCACTTGAACCTCCGTGAAGTTGGGAAGACCGTTTCCGGATCCAGACAACACGTTACACGACGATCACACTGCCCATCGTCGTGCAGAACTCACAAACATATGTCCTGACTGAGCTTGACCATGAGGCCGCGCAGTTTCACGTGCAGCGAGGCTCCCAGCCGCCAGCAGCCGACATGGCCCACCAGTCGCGCATGTACCACGTCCTCGGCGTCCTCGGAGTCCTGCTGTACGCTCTGGGTGGTCCAGGACCTCTGCTGCCGCTCCTCGCCATTCTGGGCTGATGTCCGCAAGCAGGCGCTGGATCGAACCGAGTGTGTGTGTGTGCGTGTGTGTGTAATCCCATCACCATCTCATCATCACATCCAACACGGAGGCAAAAAACGAATATCAAGAGCCAAGAACCGATGAACATCGTCCGGAGCAAAGACCATTGACAATGTTGAAACATGCAAATAGCCATCCAGTACAGATTGGCGAAGTCCAGGGAAGGTACCGAAAATGCTGCAGGTGAACGGCTTCAATTCAGTTCAGAAAGGCAATCAAGCGAACCGGATTGGAAAGGAGGGAAAGGGGAGAAGGGAGGAAGGGAAGCGAGGGGAGGGAGGAAGGCAGGAAGAAACAAAGAGAGGGAAGGGAAGGAAGGCAGGGAAGAGAGGGAACAAAGGGAGGGAAGGGAGAGAGCGACATGGATCTCGTCCCGGTCAGTGCGGTACCGGAAGTTCGGTCCAGACGCGGAAGTACGACTGGACGCCTCCTCTATCTGCGACTGTCATCAACCATCGTTATATCATGCCATCCTCCTTTTAGATTGGACATACACGCTAACACGTACATACATGTTCACATAATATGGTTAAGGCATTACTGGAAATGCGCGATAAATGCCCCCGAGAGATCCCGGGATTGTGACCTCTGGGTCGAGGATTTCCCGTTGATGGCAGGTATTGCACCCCTAGTAGATGGACGGTGTTGACCTGGGATAAAGTTAACCTGCGAGCCGACCAGGAATGGAGTTGGGCCGCTGTCGACCCGTTGGATGCTGGTGGTGGGTGCGGAACCTGAGCGATCCACTGAGAAGTTGACTAGGGTGACTAGATGGGGGTGGCCCGAAATACCGGGAAAGGCTGGGTTTCGCAGGGTAGCTGCATCGGGTGAAAATATACCCCCCTGTTTCATACATCATACACACAACATATTATACATGTGTGGACAAAATGCAAATGAGGACGACAGCGTACGTACATCACAATACGGCTTGTCAAATACCCAATATGCGCTGTACCAAGAAAGGGAACCTGCATTAATTCTCCCGGGTAGTCTTCACCCCAATTCCGTCTCCACCAACATCGCATTTGGTAAGATTGGAGTTCGAATCCCAGGGACGGTATCTAGCTTTGGCGGAAGATTTAGGTTCGGATTCCGCCGCTGGTTCCCCACCCGGGTGAAATAGATCGGCGTGTCGAAGGCTGAGATAAGCCACTGGGTCCCTCCGTTGAGACGCTGGGCGGCTGGCGTGGATGCCTGTTATGTCTGATCTGTACACTGCCACAGAGCAGTGGCGGAGGAATAATTCTGCATAGGGCGTGGACCAGGGTTTATACCAGATAGTGGTTGAATAACGAAACCCCGGGCGGCGGCAGAGTTCGCAAGGATAGGGTGGCGATTGGCACCGGTGTGAGTGCTTTGGTAGGTCGCGCAGCTGTAGAGCATGCGCTCTGTGAAACGGAGGTTGCTTGGCATCTGTACTGGTATATGAAACAGGCTAGACGATTCGAACAGGTGATGGCGCCTTGCATTGACAACGGTTATTATTTTGACCGATGACACATCCCATGCTTCGGGGGTCATTCCCGTTTAGGTGCGGTTAGTGCCCCTGGCCAGCGCCAGGCCCGGATCGATATGTAACAGATACACACAGACACACACACACACACATACACACAAACACACACACACACACACACAGCGAGAAAGAGATGCATTTATATACAAACACATGCAAGGTAAGCATGCCAGGACTTCGCAAAAAAAATGCACCCGCGAACACATTCGCACATGAGTAAATCACAGCACGTCCTGTAAGGGCGCGTGATGACGGATATAACTCCATGCCGTTCAGTGGCCAGCCGGAACCTATGAAGCAAAAGTAGCAGCAGCCTGAGTACCATCACCTTCACTCCCGACAACTTGGGCCCCGGGCCCAGCACTGCCGGCAACACAGGAACCCCGGGAAGCCCCTTCCCCCGGAGGTAGCTAACAAGAAGGTCGCTGGGAAATGCTAAGGTTCGCGCTGTTGATGCAAAATAATAAAAATATGTTATTATCGTTATTTCAATGGTCGTGAATTTGCATGCTTGCTTTTCCAAATTCAATTCACCAAACTCCCTTTTCATTCTCACAAAAAAAGCGGGGTCCCCCGAACCCTTTTTAACACTTACAAAAGGGCAATTGGACATTAAAACGACTCTCAGCATACACCGCGCCACCCGCAACTGTCAGCCGCTGGGTTGCCATTTGCGACACTCGTGCTGCGCTCCAATCCCCACGGCTCGCGTCTTACACCTTCCAGGTCTCCCATCCCACCCTGCGCTCTAAACCAGCGGTGCGTCCGGATTACTGTTGTGATAGATAAGACATGTCGCGTGTTTGGTTCGGTGTGCCAGTTGCCAGCTGGCGCAGGTGCTACCGCTGCTATTGGAGCTGCTACTGCCACAGCTACTGCTACTGCCGCTGCTGATTCGTCCTCAGTCGCACCTGCTATCGTAGCTGCTGCTGGCTGCCCTGCTGCAGCGGGGGATTTAGTGGCAAGAGGTGTACTGAGGGCCGGGAAGAAATTAACCTTAAGACCGGACTCCGCGGACGTCGGTCTGTCGGTGTGTCCGCTACCGAGGTCCCACGCACCGATACGTAATAGCCAGGTAGAACCCACCATCGCGCCACCCGCCACCACCCGCAGTCGCCAACGTGCACGCTGTAAATTAGCGCGTCTGCGAAGATTGCGCCTTGCCGTTGCCGCTGCTGCCGTACAGGAAGCCCTTCATCAGGTCCTTCAGCCGCCGGAAGCCGCCACTGCTGCGATCACTGTCTGCCCCGCCGCCGGCCTGGGGCTGTACGGCATCGGATGGCCTTGCCGCCGGCGCCAGTGCTCCCGGCCGTCGCTGGCGTACGAGCGAGCCGCCGCTGCCGCCGCCGCTGCCCGCATCGCTTACGCTGCTGCCACCGTTGCCGCTGTCACTGCTGCTGCCGCTGTCGCTGCCGCCGCTGTCACTGCTGCCGCCGCCGCTACCGCTGCCGCAGCCTCTGCCACTGCCGCCGCTGCCGCGCCCTTCCGGGTACCTGACGTCAGCCTCCAACTGTGGCGCTGCTGCGGCTGCGGAAACGGGTGCTTCATCCGTCGCAACCATTGCCGTATCCGGACCTATCCACAGCAGCCCCAACTCTGCTATCGCTTCCAACAGCTGCGCACCGATGATGCCCTGCCCGAATCGCCCTGGCATCCCCGCCTCCATCAAGTTCCCAAGACTCCGGACCTGACCCCGATCCGGACGGTGGTGGTGCTGCTGCTGGTTGTCTAACGGCGGCGGCAGCACCTGCTGATGGTAGTGGTAGGGCTGACGGTGGCACACCTGCTGCTCCCAAGAACTGCTCCAAGCTCTCGTATCAGTAAAGCCGCGTTCCGCCGCAAGCGCCGCCGGCTGTAGCCGCTGCCCTGCGTGGCTACGGCCGCCGGCGCTCTCGTTGCCATCCCCGGCGCCGAGGCCGCTGTTAGCGTTGACGCCGCTGCCGACTGCTGCAGCTGCTGCTGCTGCGGCGGCGGCGGCGGCAGCGGCGGCAACATCCCTTTGCACCAGTTCTACGGCCAGTGTGTTGAGTCGGTCGTTTCCGCATCTCGCCGCCAGTTGTGCTGGTGTGGGCCCGCCACACGCGCCGCGAAGGAGAAACCAGCGCTGGGCCCCGCCGCGAATCCGCTCCAGCAGCACCGCCCCTACATCGTACCCTCCAGGAAGGGTGGCGGCCACATGGAGGGGTGACAGCCCCGAGGGCCCTATGAAGGGAGGGAGGGGGGAAACGGCAAGGCCCCCACGGGCGGATACCGGAGAATTGAGCTTGCACATTACAATACCGAGTGCACCGCAGATCCCACCACAAATAAAAACTGAAAACTAGCAACCCAGAAGAGGGTAAAACTGACCAAGGCAAGGAAAGCTGAAGGGTTCGGTTTCGGTGTCCGATTGCGACATTGATGGCGCAGTCTGCTGATGCTCCTGTCAGTTACGGACTGACTAGCTCAATGGCGAGAGATTGGAAAAGTCGAGGGGGAAAAAGTTGGGGAAGCTGAGTAAAATTAGGCAGCATACGCACAATATATCCACATATATGCACACGTAAGCAGATGTAAATATATTAATCTCAACAGTTGCCATGTTTAGATACATGTACGACGTACTCATATGGCACATGCCGTACATTCATGCATGATTGACATAACCTAGGCCGTACTGCACGTCGTACCCAGCCGCAGGGCGTGCAAAGCCGCCCAACTGCCGTCAGTATCGCGATTGAGCAGCTCCTCCACCATGGGACCCGAGCGAGACTGTACGGCGCACAGCAGCAGGCCCGCGCCGTTGTACAGCGCGTGGTCATGAATGCTGTCTGGCGACATTCCTTGCACTTGGAGGAGGCGCCAAAGCAGCGAAGCCGTGTGAACGAGGCCCCTGCACCACAACACCAACCCAACCGGCCGGCCACAAACGTCGCTGTCACAGCTACCACACAGCCATTACAGCGTTAGGTTCAGCAATACGCACAAGACTCACAAGGCCCCAAAAGGGGTTTAGGCGGATGAAGAAGACATAAATACAGACGCACCCACGGGTACTTTCCTTCCCTACGCCCATTCCCCTCCCCCCCCTTTCCCCTCCGAGCGCCTTCTTCCGCCGGGTCCTTTTCCCGGAGGCGGGTTATCGAATCCCCGGAGGATTCAAGTGCATTAATCGGTTCAAAGGGCCTGGAGTGTGCGGTTAGTTTCAATGCAACGAGACGGGCGACTGGTGGCAGAACGGCGGAAGATGAACGGCCGCGCTTTCGCGCTCTAATGCTCTCGTCAACAGGACCCGGCTGCAGACCGTCGTTTCCGCTGAAGGAGAGGAAGCTGTTTTCCGCAAGTGACATGTAGTCATTATCGGTTAGGTTTCCGTTTAATTACTACAGTTCGTTAGGTGCTTACCGTACGACACAGAACGATAGCAACCGACAGGCCTTGAACGACAGCCTCAGCTCC